AAGGGAGTAAGATAAAACCAAGAGCATCAGATTAAGCACAAGACCATGATCACTCCAACTTTATTGGTTTCATGTGCTTCAAACTGGGAGTGTCTCTGGGGTGTGTGCAGAGAGAGGAGGGGTCGCTGTTGTCCTGCAAGATCTTCAAGATACATGGTTATTTGATCCAACTTACACTTTTGACTGGTAAAGGAGTAAGATCTAATAGTCACCCACTGTGATTAATGTTATTGAATGCTGATGATTGAATGTCGAATCACATGAAGCATTGTCATTATGCTGTATCACTTTCAAAAGAGTGCTGATAAAATAACTGATGTCCTTTGACATCCTTGCCTAAGGCTGCTGTTTTAATTACTGTTGTTTTAGCCCATGAAAACTTTTGCCTCTCCTCTGCTTTCTTCTTTCTGTACTCCAGAAAGGTCTGAAGAGTAGGGGTTTGAATAGTCTGTGATGCTGCAGGAAAACAAAGAAATAAATATGTTAAATTTTGGGTCTCTTATTTCTGTATAACAGACTACTGCTAAGGAGGCCGCTATGATCAGAGGAGGAGAACCGCACCGAACCGGGATATTTTACTAATGGGTTACTTTTATATGGAGCTTTAACCTTAATAGAACAGCTTTAATAATAACAAATAATGAACTTTGACAACCATGATGAATTACAAAAATGTGCCCACTGATGTTTCTTTAGTTACTGTGTTTAAAAGCTTTGAAAACACCAAGTTAGTCTAAACTGTGGCAAAAAAGAGATTCCCTATATTCCACCTTCGTGAAGTTGGCCACCCACCCTCAATAAAAACGTTTCGAAAGATCGTGTTTTCTCTTTTGCGGTTGTATTTTGTACATCCAGGCCACTGTAATGTTGCACCATCACGCCGTAAAAAATTCCTAGTCTGTGAATCCTGTTCATTGACAATGGCAAAAAAACCCCTTCTGATTCTGATTTTATATGATAGGTAAGAGCTCAGTCATAATCATCAGTATATGCCTTGTACAGCATGCATTTAACACCAGTCTTTTTTTTGTAGGCACTGGTCTACACACCTCCATTTTATTAGTGGCCTCTGGTGCAATCCCTTGTAATAAAAACAAGATGAATAATGTTTTGATACGACAATACAAATTTTGAACTTGTTGAACATCGAACAAACATTAATATCTGCCCTGTGTCCTTGGCTGGTGCCAGGTTTGCAGAAAGCTGGTGCATGCCAGGGGCTGGGCACCCACTTCACTCCTAAAGTGCTATATAGGTAAATCCCCCAAAATTAGAATATTGTGGAATTGTGATAATTTATCTCCATAATATATAATTTTTTAATCTGCATTTACATAGACTAGCTACACTACAAAAGTTTGGAAGCAAGGCCATTGTTCACAATGATTTTTTTAAAATCCAGTATGAGTTTTATGTATTTTGGGATGTATTTACTCCATGTTTAGGTTTTGTTTTCATGGAAATGCACCATTTTACTCCATTTACCTTTAGATATACATTGATGTTAACAGACCATTGCTAAATATATGTCAGCAAAAGATAATAAGGGCTTTGTTTTAGGGTTGAAAACATTTGCAAGAGTCACAACTTCAGTGGAAAAGCAATCAAAAAGCAAATCACAGTTGGATTATTCACTTCAACTTTTTGGCTTTTGAGAGTCTGCATACAAAAATCCTAATAAATCCCAACTGTGTTCAAAATACTGCAGAAATGGTTAGAAAGAAGCAACTGAGCAAAGAAACAAAAGTACAGATTTGTACATTGAGGAAAGAAGGATACACAGAAAGAGAAATTGCAAAACGCCTAAAGGTGTTTAACAAAGGAGTCCACTACACTCTGAAGAGACTTGAGGAACCTGGAAGTTATGATGATAGAAAAAGACCTGGATGAAAGAGAGTTATTACAAAAGGAGAGGATAAACATAGCATTGTCACCAGTAAGAGAGATCGGCGAAAGACAGCACCACAAAGAAGGGAGGAAATCAACATGACAAAGTTGTAACCAATATCTGTGACAACCGGGAAAAGACGTTTGAGAAAGGCTGGTCTGAAGGGTTGTGTATCTGCAAAAAAACACTACTTCATCCACAGAACAAGAAAAAGAGATATGAGTGGGCAAAAGCTCACAAAAATTGGACTTATGATGACTAGAAACAAAATGCAGGGTCTATGTCCGCAGACAAACTGGTGAACATCTGAAAGCACCATGTGTTACACCCACAATTCAGCATGGAGGTGGTAGTTCCATGGTGTGGAGATTTGCAGGTAATGGAGTAGGAGATTTGTTTGAAGTAAAGGGTATCATGAAGAAGGAACAGTACCACTCCATCCTCCAGCACCATGCTGTTCCATCTGGACTCAGACTTGTGGCTCATAAGTTTGTTTTGCAGCAAGACAATGACCCTAAGCACTCTGCCAAGCTCTGTCAGGGTTACCTAGACAAAAAAGAAGAGGAAGGTGTTCTTCAAAAGATGGTTTGGCCCCCTCAGTCTCCAGACCTTTCTCCAATTAAGCTTGTGCGGGATGAATTGGATCTATCGGTCAGAAAAACGCATCTCACGAATCAGCAGTCTCTTTTTAATGAACTTAAGAAAGCTTGGAATGCAATCCCTGAAACATACCTTAAAAAACTTGCCAAGCTGTTGTTAAAGCCAGAGGAGGTTACTTTAAAGAAAGCAAAGTCTAAGCTAGAAAAACTCAAATACCTAATAATTATAGTCAAAATGTCTTCTGATAAGTTACTCTTTACACAATAGTCATGTTTATTGTGTTGTAAGTTATATTTACGAAACTATGATCTTTTTTTTATACAAATCTGATCTTGCTTCCAAACTTTTGGCCTGTAGTGTGCATATAAAAAACAAACAAACATACCTGTGGCATGCCGTTTGAAACAGAAGCACCACTATGTAGTTACGTAACACCTTCCCAGCACTGCAAGAGCACAAAGTGCTCTTAAGTTTCACTGGACCCTTTTTAGAATGAAATGTCACCTGTTAATAGGGACATAATAATGAGTGTTGATGATATACATGGACTGCTAAGCCAAGAACTGGGCAGAACATATGAATACATGTATTTTGATCAAACAGAATCTCTCAGTTTCCATTTGTCTACCCAAAATAACATCTTTAGTAGTTTTTAACTCACAAATAATAGATAGACTGAGAAATACACTGAAGTACATCTTGCAAATTTGCTGGAACTGGTAACACCGCAGTCTCTCATGCAACTGCAGGAAAACAGTCTGCAACAGCAGCGGGATAACAACTATTCATTTTGAGAAACCTGAAGTGAGTGAGCTTCCTCATTTTTATTTTTTTTAATAGGATATAGAAATGTCTAAGTCTCCAAAAAAATTCTTTGCCTGTTTGTTCTTTCTGTCTTAAATGAAGGCAGGAATCGTTCAGGGAGATTTTGGACACATCTGTGATGTGATGCACACAGACAGACAGAAGTCGAGTGACATCAGCGTGAATTCCCTCTATTGAATTCAGTTATTGAGTTGATACTCAATAACTCCCACCCTGCAGGACGGAGCGCTACCGTAGATCATTTCTCCCCTCTGCAATAAGACTTTACAATGAACAGTAACAAATCTGATTTTACACCACCACTTTTTTTTATGGCATTTAAATTGTGTATATTGTAGAAAGTTTTATTTTTTCTTCTCCCTTTTCTAATTTTTTTCTTAATTATTACATTTATTTAAGTTCTTAATATTAGGACCCTTATTGTTATAACTGCATTTTTGCACTTGTTGGCTTGTCTGTGATGCTGCTGTGACAAAAAAAATTTCCCCCATGGGGGATCAATAAAGGAATATTCTATTCTATATTCTATTCTATGATATCCTGCCTCGTAGTACAGCTGATCGGGATTACGGAGATCTGGTGAAGTTAAGTGAGTTTTGGCAGTTATCCTGGGTGTGTTAATCCAGCTGCATAGTACAGGCCTCAGGTTTGACAAAGTTACAGTTTATTTGGCTCTGATCTTTTGATGCTGGATTTGGTTGATTATGGGAGGTCGGTAAAGGTCCGGTATGGGGGGAATATATCTTGATGTCACTCAGCTTCCGATTCACTTCCCAGTTAGCAGTAGAGGAACTTTTTATTTGTATCAAAAACTGGCAACTTCATGACCAAGTACAACCCCAACATTTCAGACAAAGGAACATTGAACAAATAACATGGGAGATAATAAAATAATACTATAGTAAAAAAAAAAAAAAAGAATAAACACATACATAATTTCTTTGGAGAAATATAAATTGGGGTCTTGTAGCAGAGATGCCCGCTTTCTCACCCTAAGTACCCCCAAAAGAATGTAATGCTTGACCTGGTCACTGGAGATGAGATGGGGTGACCCCACCAAACCAAATCATGTTCTTATTGCTCTCCACTTTTGCCTTAAAGTCAGCTTAAATTATGTTTTTAAGTTTTAAAAACATTATTTCAGTTTGTGGAATCCAATCAGACAGACAAACATTATTCCAGATGAACATTTAATCCAAGCTGTTTGGGTTTGTGGTTTCTTGATTGCTGTTTTTATTCAGTGGTTGGTTGGTCAAATTAATTCTGATGAATTTGGTCTGCTGGCTAAGTGAGTAAGTTAAGTAGATTAGACTATTTTAAATTTGCCTGTTTGTTGTCCTTGTTTGATGTCACTTTGAACCCTACCAGATGAGGAAAATATGAATTCTTTCTCACTTTGTAAAGCTTAGCTGACACTTCACTGATCATCAACCATGAGCTCCTACTCCTGCTCCTAGTATTTCAAGGCTGGAAATTTAAAACATGTGAGTTTAAAAATGTAAATAATTAAATAATGTAGCTGAACCTGTTGTGTTTAGTGCGCACATGAATGATGAGAAAACGACATTGTTTTGAGATTTTCTGAAAAAGTCATATGAGTGGGTCAATATATGCATTTTCAAAAGCAAATATTTTAGTACTCAAACAAAAGTAACAGTTTAGTTAGCAAATTTCCTTGTATCTCAGTATTTATTGACTAGATGTCTCTATACTTTGAAGTAGTCATGTCTTTGTCCTTACTATCTACCCTCTCTGTCCCTATTATCTACTTCATAATCTTCTAAACTATCAATTTTGGTCATAAACCTAATACATTTTACTGTTAATATTATTGAATTTAGAAAAAAAAAACACACCTCACCCCACTGCATTGCAGAATAGGAGAGCACAGGACAAGATACAGAAGATTAAGTGTTGCCCCAGCAGAGGGTTATTTCAGACCCATTAAGTCCAGATCATACAAAAAAAAAAAGAAAAATACAAGGGATAAGAATAAGAATAACTTCATTGATCCCTGAAGGGAAATCCAATTGTCTGTCGTCTCACTGGTCATGTCTCAAAAGTCATCTACTATTTATAAAAGAGTTGTAAAGTCTGATGGCTGTGGGTACAAAAGATCTTCTCAATCTTTCTGTCCTGCAGTAAAGAGAGAGGAGCTGTCCACCACCATTGGCCCTTTGGTCCATTAAGGTGTTGTGAAGTGGTTGATCCATGTTCTTTAAAATAGCCTCCACCTCCCTCAGTCTACATTTCTCCACCACATCCTCCAACACAGCCAGCCTTTTTCACCAGTATGTTCAGACGTTTTGCATCTTTGTGTTTGATGCTTTCTCCCCAGCAGACTGCAGCGCAGAACACAACACTTGCCACCACAGACTGATAAAAAATCTGCAGCATCTTACTACAGATGTCTGCTGATCGGAGTCTTCTCAGGGGAAAAGAGGCGGCTCTGCCACTTTCTGTGGGTGAAGTCTATGTTCTTAGACCAGTCCACTCTACATGCTTGTTTTTTTCTGCAGTTGTAGACACACTTGTTCTGTCTCTAACTATGTGTTCATTTTAGCAGAGAGGCTTACAGAATTTAAATACTGAGACTGAGAGAGTTTATTACATCCAGGGCAGCTCTAGGTTCTTTCTCCAGTGCAAACGCTCATGTGTTTTATCAATGCAGGTTCTCTTTGGAAAGTTGTGCCACACTCTGAGCAGCTGTAGGGTCTCTCCTCTGAATGAACTCTCATGTGTTGTCCCAGTTCTCCTTCTCTTTTGAATGTTTTGCCACATTCTGAGCAGCTGAAGGGTCTCTCCTCTGAGTGAACCCTGATGTGTTTTGCCAGTTCTCCTTTAGTTTTGAATGTTTTGTCACAGTCTGGGCAGCTGAAGGGTCTCTCCTCTGAGTGAACCCTCATGTGGCTTGCCAGTTCTCCTTTAGTTTTGAATGTTTTGCCACAGTCTGGGCAGCTGAAGGGTCTCTCCTCTGAGTGAAATGCCATGTGTCTTGCCAGTTGAGTTTTAGTTTTGAATGTTTTGCCACAGTCTGGACAGCTGAAGGGTTTCTCATCTGAGTGAAATGCCATGTGTCTTGCCAGTTGAGTTTTAGTTTTGAATGTTTTGCCACATTCTGAGCAGCTGAAGGGTCTCTCCTCTGAGTGAACCCTCATGTGGCTTGCCAGGTTGTATTTAGTTTTGAATGTTTTGCCACATTCTAAGCAGCTGAAGGGTCTCTCCCCTGAATGAACTCTCAAGTGGCTTGCCAGGTCGGATCTAGTTGTGAATGTTTTGCCACATTCTGAGCAGCTGAAGGGTCTCTCCTCTGAGTGAACCCTCATGTGGCTTGCCAGGTCTCCTTTAGTTTTGAATGTTTTGCCACATTCTGAGCAGCTGAAGGGTCTCTCCTCTGAGTGAACCCTCATGTGGCTTGCCAGGTCTCCTTTAGTTTTGAATGTTTTGCCACATTCTAAGCAGCTGAAGGGTTTCTCATCTGAGTGAACTGTCATGTGTCTTGCCAGGTCGTATTTAGTTTTGAATTTTTTGCCACACTCTAAGCAGCTGAAGGGTCTCTCCTCTGAGTGATAGATCATGTGTCTTGCCAGGTCGTATTTAGTTTGTAATGTTTTGCCACAGTCTGAGCAGCTGAAGGTTCTCTCCTCTGAGTGAACTCTCATGTGGATTGCTAGTTCTTGTCGTGTTTTGAATATTCGACAACACTTTGAGCAAACACGTGATTTCTCAAGCCTCTTTAGCATCTTCTTTCTCACTTTTTTCACAGACATTAGACTTGACTTTTGTGGTCTTGTATCCTCCCAATTCTCATCACTGCCCTCGGTCTCAGGTTCAGGGGAGTCTTGAGTCTTTCGTTGTATATTTATCCCTGAGTTGTTACTGGCTGGATCTTGTCCTCCATAATTCTGTTCCTTGCAAATGTTCGGGGGCTCAGTGTATCCCTGGTCCAGACTGGGACTCCTCCCCTGCTGCTCAGAGAGAAACTCTTCTTTTTTCACCAACACCTTCTGGATATCTGCAAGGCACAGAAAAACAATAACTAAACAGAAGTTGATGAAAACATCAGTAGATATGAAAGCAGATTTAAAAACTCAATGATAGTCTAAAGAAAGATAAGAGTTAGTGTGGGGATTATGGACTAATGTTGCCCCCTCTAGTGTTGGACTTAATTAGCTCACCAGCTATGTATGTGCTGTCTCGGAGCAGCAGACTATTTGTCAACAGTCCTGACAAGAACTGAACAATGTCAGCAGCATGGATTTACTCGAAGAGGCACCACTAAATCTGTTGTTATTCTCAAATCAGTTTCAGCATTTGTTATGATGCTCATTGTTGTGCTCCTGAAACTTCTCGGGCAAAACTGAATGGATGCAGCCTGGTGCAAAAAGCTGCTGCACCATAGTTCCAGGTAACCAATCACAGTGTTGATAAAACACTTAACCCAGGTAACCAAGAGCAGCATTGTGAGAGTTCACACTAAGAGCTCAGAATTCAGCTCACATTTAGTTCCCATGGATCGAAAACAACTAGTTTGCACTGATAGTTTGTGTGTCTGTCAGCAGAGCCTCCCAAACTTCAATTTCTAATCCCCTCACTGACATTTATTGAAGTAAATAATTATTCAATTGTACATCACAATTGGAGACAGACGTACTTTGAAAAAACAAGGAAATTTCAGTGTTTTAAACAGTTTTTTTTCTTCCCGCCCCAATACCCTGCTATAGTGGGTGAGATGTTTATCAAGCCCTCTCAAATAAAGGGGCTAAGGGTATAGAAACACTGAAGAGACAAACATGAAAGTTGACTATTCTATCTGAAAAAGTTTTACCCCTCTGAATCAGACAGGATTTTAGCCTGCTGGGCAGCACAAAAACTAAAAATGCAGACTGACAATACAGATTTACATTTTCAAGTAGGCCACAGAGATAAATCTGGAACATGTGCTTTTCTTGTGCCTTTTCAGAATCATCATCAAACCAATGTGTGACTCTTAAACTACAAGTACTTGATTTTTTTCCCTTTCCCAGCAGATAATAGGATAAAACATGATAGGATAGCTGTTGTATTTGTTGTTGCGGTTGTGTAGTACTTCATATATTCGTAATAAAAACCTTTTCCTTGAAAGGAAAAACTTTTTTTTGCCTTAAAATCATTCCAGGTTTAATCATATTATTTTGCCATTTCATTAATATGGTTTATTACAGCCTGTGTGTGGCGCTTGCTTCAGTTAAGGCATTGAAACATGTAACCAGAAGTGTAAGGAAAACTGACCTGCTCTGTGCAGCTTGATTTCGGGTGTTAAAATCACAGCCAGCAGTTTTTTCTGGCGGCGGAGCTCCTCTTCGTATCCAGACTCTGTTCTATTTTCGACCAGGTCCGTGATTACCGCAGCCAGCAGCCGCCGATTAAATAAATCATCAAGATCCTGAAATCGGGACATTTTCCACAAACGCAAGAGCGAAAGAAGCGAAAACAGAACTTTGTGGTTACCGCGGTACCACGTGGACGACTTCTTCCTCTTGTTTTTCTTTATGAGCGTTTGGAAACAGAGCTGAATCCGTTTTGGAGCGGAAATTTAAACCTCGGTTTCGGATCACCAGGTTTGAAAAAGTCGCGGTGGATTTGGCTCCGATCTTTTGTTTGCAGAATCTGGATTTGGTCGATTATGGAGGTCGAGCAGTAATGTGTACTTCTTTATCTTCTTCTTCTTAGTTAACGGCGGATGGAAACTAGTAGTACTGATTACGGTCGACGACCTATAAAGAACTGGCATAGGGGGAGTAGTGGGACTTCATACGACGTCATCTCCGCTTCCGGTTTTTCCGATAGCAGGGTCTCACCAAAGGTGCATTTATCCATTCTCGAGCCAAATGGCTAGAGGAGGGAGAAATGAATACGAGCTCTTTTTCGCCCTGGAAAAAAGGAATTATAGAAGAAATAATATAACATATTTGAAAATAGCTAACTCAACCAGCTCTGATCCTTCTGATATTGCCAATTATACTCTAAAATTTTATTCTGATCTGTACAGTTCTGTTCATAATCAAACTGAATGTGAAAAATTTATAAACAATGTTAAAGAATTTACGCCACAAATATCCAACGAATTTAAGCTGGACTGTGATAATTAATTATTATTACTCTCTATACATATTTTACACTGCCATACCTTTCAAGGCTAAAGAGTTTTTGAGAAAGAAATCAAAATAACTCAACTGGCGGATGACACAGTCTAGCCAATATTAATGGTTCTAGATTCACTTATAATGATGCCTATGTGTAATTTTGTGTTCCTCACGATGCCTATATTTCTGCTTTTCTTTTTTTTTTTTTTTTTTGTAAAATGTTGAATTTGAAAATGACCCCACCACACAAAATCGTGGCCTTTCACAACCTCCTCTTTTTTTTTTTTTTTTTTTTGTAAAATAACCAAAAATTACTCTCCCACAAAGGTAGACAGTCAGCCTTTTCCATTTCAAAGAGACAAAGATGTTAATTACCAGCAGGACCCCCAGACTGAACAAACATTCACCCTTTCTCCTTGGCTGGAGAGTGTCGAAATTGTCACTTCAGGCTTGAGGATGGCTGAAGAGAGCATGTGAACTCAACTCAAGAGGGCGCTAGAAGCACTCATCCTTGAAATAGACCCCAGCCATAAACCCTCAGAGTGGCTGATTCTTCCTGTAATTCTCTTTACATGCAGAGTAAAGAGAATAACTGCTAATGATTTAATTTCAGTTTTAATGATCACTTCACAAGGATTTTCTGTCTGTACACAACACATCTTTGAGCCAGCTGATTTTTCAGGGTATGGATGTTCTTATTACTTTCTTCTTTTGCTTTTAAGTCAGCTGGAATTATGTTTTTAAGTTTTAAAATCCAACCAGACAGACAATAAAAAATGTGTCAGTCTATGCGTGGCTCGTCTTGGTGGTGGTGTTCCTGTAAAATTAGGAGTCTCTAATAATTCAGATGAACATTTAATCCAAGCTGTTTGGGTTTGTGGTTTCTTGATTGCTGTTTTTATTCAGTGGTTGGTTGGTCAAATTAATTCTGATGAATTTGGTCTGCTGGCTAAGTGAGTAAGTTAAGAAGATTAGACTATTTTAAATTTGCCTGTTTGTTGTCCTTGTTTGATGTCACTTTGAACCCTACCAGATGAAGAAAATATTAATTCTTTCTCACTTTGTAAAGCTTAGCTGACACTTCACTGATCATCAACCATGAGCTCCTACTCCTGCTCCTAGTATATCAAGGCTGGAAATGTAAAACATGTGAGTTTAAAAATGTGAGTAATTAAATAATGTAGCTGAACCTGTTGTGTTCAGTGCGCACATAAATGATGAGAGAACAACATTGTTTTGAGATTTTCTTAAAAAGTCATATGAGTGGGTCTATCTAGGCATTTTCAAAAGCAAATATTTTAGTACTCAAACAAAAGTAACAGTTTAGTTAGCAAATGTCCTTGTATCTCAGTATTTATTGACTAGATGTCTCTATACTTTGAAGTAGTCATGTCTTTGTCCTCACTATCTACCCTCTCTGTCCCTATTATCTTCTTCATAATCTTCTAAACAATCAATTTTGGTCATAAACCTAATACATTTTACTGTTAATATTATTTAAGTTTAAGAGAGGTCTAATGTGACATCAAAAAGCCAGGACTCAATACAAGTATCTCCGGCATTCTAATAAGTGAATTTAGAAAAAAAAAAACACACCTCGCCCCACTGCATTGCATAATAGGAGAGCACAGGACAAGATACAGAAGATTAAGTGTTGCCCCAGCAGAGGGTTATTTCAGACCCATTAAGTCCAGATCATACAAAAAAAAAGAAAAATACAAGGGATAAGAATAAGAATAACTTTATTGATCCCTGAAAGAAAATCCAATTGTCTGTCGTCTCACTGGTCATGTTTCAAAAGTCATCGACTATTTATAAAAGAGTTGTAAAGTCTGATGGCTGTGGGTACAAAAGATCTTCTCAATCTTTCTGTCCTGCAGTAGAGAGAGAGGAGCTGCCACCACCATTGGCCCTTTGGTCCATTAAGGTGTTGTGAAGTGGTTGATCCATGTTCTTTAAAATAGCCTCCACCTCCCTCAGTCTACATTTCTCCACCACATCCTCCAACACAGCCAGCCTTTTTCACCAGTATGTTCAGACGTTTTGCATCTTTGTGTTTGATGCTTTCTCCCCTGCAGACTGCAGCGCAGAACACAACACTTGCCACCACAGACTGATAAAACATCTGCAGCATCTTACTACAGATGTCTGTTGAGCAGCTCCTTCAGCAGCAGATTTAGACTTCCACCTTGCAGGACGGAGCACTACTGCAGGCCATTCCTCCCCTCTGCAATACGACTTTACAACCAACTGTAATAATAACTGGATTTATACCACCACTTTTTTCTGGCATTTAAATTGTGTATATTGTAGATAGTTTTATTTTTCTTCTCCCTTTTTCCTTTTTCTATTTTTTTTCTTAATTATTACATTTATTGAAGTTCTTAATATTAGGATCTTTATTTTTATAACTGCAATTTTGCACTCTTTGTCTGTGATGCTGCTGTGACAAGAAAATTTCCCCCATTGGGGAATATTCTATTCTATTCTTCTAATCGGAGTCTTCTCAGGCAAAAGAGGCGGCTCTGCCACTTTCTGTGGGTGAAGTCTATGTTCTTAGACCAGTCCACTCTACATGCTTGTTTTTTTCTGCAGTTGTAGACACACTTGTTCTATCTCTAACTATGTGTTCATTTTAGCAGAGATGCTTGCAGAATTTAAATACTGAGACTGAGAGAGTTTATTACATCCAGGGCAGCTCTAGGGTCTTTCTCCAGTGCAAACTCTCATGTGTTTTATCAACACAGGTTCTCTTTGGAAAGTTGTGCCACACTCTGAGCAGCTGTAGGGTCTCTCCCCTGAATGAACTCTCATGTGTTGTCCGAGTTCTCCTTCTCTTTTGAATGTTTTGCCACATTCTGAGCAGCTGAAGGGTTTCTCATCTGAATGAACTCTCATGTGTTGTCCCAGTTCTCCTTTAGTTTTGAATGTTTTGCCACAGTCTGGGCAGCTAAAGGGTCTCTCCTCTGAGTGAACCCTCATATGGCTTGCCACGTCAAATTTAGTTTTGAATGTTTTGCCACAGTCTGAGCAGCCGAAGGGTCTCTCATCTGAGTGAACTCTCATGTGTCTTGTCAGTTCTCTTTCAGTTGTGAATGTTTTGCCACATTCTAAGCAGCTGAAGGGTCTCTCCTCTGAATGAACTCTCATGTGTTGTCCCAGTTCTCCCTTAGTTTTGAATGTTTTGCCACATTCGGAGCAGCTGAAGGGTCTCTCCTCTGAGTGAACCCTCATGTGGCTTGCCAGGTCGTATTTAGTTTTGAATGTTTTGCCACAGTCTGAGCAGCTGAAGGGTTTCTCATCTGAATGAACTCTCATGTGTTGTCCCAGTTCTCCTTTAGTTTTGAATGTTTTGCCACAGTCTGAGCAGCTAAAGGGTCTCTCCTCTGAGTGAACCCTCATGTGGCTTGCCAGGTCGTATTTAGTTTTGAATGTTTTGCCACAGTCTGAGCAGCTGAAGGGTTTCTCATCTAAGTGAACTGTCATGTGTTGTCCCAGTTCTCCTTTAGTTTTGAATGTTTTACCACATTCTGAGCAGCTGAAGGGTCTCTCCTCTGAGTGAACTTTCATGTGGATTGCCAGTTCTTGTTTAGTTTTGAATGTTTTGCCACATTCTGAGCAGCTGAAGGGTCTCTCATTGTAGTGAACTCTCATGTGTTTTGCCAGTTCTCGTTTAGTTTTGAATGTTTTGCCACAGTCTGGGCAGCTGAAGGGTCTCTCCTCTGAATGAACTCTCACGTGTTGTCCCAGTTCTCGTTTAGTTTTGAATGTTTTGCCACATTCTGAGCAGCTGAGGGGTCTCTCCTCTGAGTGAACCCTCATGTGGATTGCCAGTTCTCGTTTAGTTTTGAATGTTTTGCCACATTCTGAGCAGCTGAAGGGTCTCTCATCTGAGTGAACTGCCATGTGTTGTTCCAGATGAGTTTTAGTTTTGAATGTTTTGCCACATTCTGAGCAGCTGAAGGGTCTCTCATCGGAGTGAACTCTCATGTGGATTGCTAGTTCTTGTCTTCTTTTGAATATTCGACAACACGTGATTTCTCTAGCCTCTTTAGCATCTTCTTTCTCACTTTTTTCACAGACATTAGACTTGACTTTTGTGGTTTTGTATCCTCCCAATTCTCATCACTGCCCTCGGTCTCAGGTTCAGGGGAGTCTTGAGTCTTTCGTTGTATATTTATCCCTGAGTAGTTACTGGCTGGATCTTGTCCTCCATAATTCTGTTCCTTGCAAATGTTCGGGGGCTCAGTGTATCCCTGGTCCAGAGTGGGACTCCTCCCCTGCTGCTCAGAGAGAAACTCTTCTTTTTTCACCAACACCTTCTGGATATCTGCAAGGCACAGAAAAACAATAACTAAACAGAAGTTGATGAAAACATCAGTAGATATGAAAGCAGATTTAAAAACTCAATGATAGTCTCAAGAAAGATAAGAGTTAGTGTGGGGATTATGGACTAATATTTCCCCCTCTAGTGTTGGACTTAATTAGCTCACCAGCTATGTATGTGCTGTCTCGGAGCAGCAGACTATTTTTCAACATTCCTGACAAGAACTGAACAATGTCAGCAGCATGGATTTAGTTGAAGAGGCACCACTAAATCTGTTGTTATTCTCAAATCAGTTTCAGCATTTGTTATGATGCTCATTGTTGTGCTCCTGAAACTTCTCGGGCAAAACTGAATGGATGCAGCCTGGTGCAAAAAGCTGCTGCACAATAGTTCCAGGCAACCAATCACAGTGTTGATAAAACACTTAACCCAGGTAACCAAGAGCAGCATTGTGAGAGTTCACACTAAGAGCTCAGAATTCAGCTCACATTTAGTTCACATGGATCCAAATCAACTAGGTTGTAGTGATAGTTTGTGTGTCTGTCAGCAGAGCCTTCCAAGCTTCAATTCCTAATCCCCTCACTGATATTTATTGAACTAAATTATCATTAAAGTGTACATCATAATTGGAGACAGACATATACTTTGGAAAAACAAGGAAATTTCAGTGTTTTAAACAGTTTTTTTTCTTCCCGCCCCAATACCCTGTTACAGTGGGTGAGATGTTTATCAAGCCCTCTAAAAAAAAGGGGCTTAAGGGTATAGAAACACTGACGAGACAAACATGAAAGTTAACTATTCTATCTGAAAAGGTTTACCCCTCTGAATCAGACAGGATTTTAGCCTGCTGGGCAGCACAAAAATGAGAAATGCTGACTGACAATACAGATTTACATTTTCAAGTAGGCCACAGAGATAAATCTGGAACATGTGCTTTTCAGAATCATCATCAAACCAATGTGTGACTCTTAAACTACAAGTACTTGACACAGTCCAGCCGTTAATAGTATAAAACAGTATAGGATAGCTGTTGTATTTGTTGTTGCGGTTGTGTAGTACTTCATAAATTCGTAATAAAACTTTTCCTTAAAAACAAATACTTTTTTTGCCCTAAAGTCATTTCAGGTTTAATCATATTATTTTGCCATTTCATTAATATGGTTTGTTGCAGCCTGTGTGTGGGGCTTGCTTCAGTTAAGGCATTGAAACATGTATCCAGAAGTGTAAGGAAAACTGACCTGCTCTGTGCAGCTTGATTTCGGGTGTTAAAATCACAGCCAGCAGTTTTTTCTGGCGGCGGAGCTCCTCTTCGTATCCAGACTCTGTTCTATTTTCGACCAGGTCCGTCATTACCGCAGCCAGCAGCCGCCGATTAAATAAATCATCAAGATCCTGAAACCCGGACATTTTCCACAAACGCAAGAGCGGAAGAAGCGAAAACAGAACTTTGTGGTTACCGCGGTACCACGTGGACGACTTCTTCCTCTTGTTTTTCTTTATGAGCGTTTGGAAACAGAGCTGAATCGGTGTTGGAGCGGAAATTTAAACCTCGGTTTCGGATCACCAGGTTTGAAAAAGTCGCGGTGGATTTGGCTCCGATCTTTTGTTTGCAGAATCTGGATTTGGTCGATTATGGAGGTCGAGCAGTAATGTGTACTTCTTTATCTTCCTCTTCTTAGTTAACGGCGGATGGCAACTAGTAGTACTGATTACGGTCGACGACCTATAAAGAACTGGCATAGGGGGAGTAGTGGGACTTCATACGACGTCATCTCCGCTTCCGGTTTTACCGATAGCAGGGTCTCACCAAAGGTGCATTTATACGTTCTAGAGCCAAATGGCTAGAGGAGGGAGAAATGAATACAGACTTTTTTTCGCCCTGGAAAAAAGGAATTATAGAAGAAATAATATAACATCTTTGAAAATAGATAACTCAACTAGCTCTGATCCTTCTGATATTGCCAATTATACTCTAAAATTTTATTCTGATCTGTACAGTTCTGTTCATAATCAAACTGAATGTGAAAAATTTATAAACAATGTTAAAGAATTTACGCCACAAATATCCAACGAATTTAAGCTGGACTGTGATAAACTCAAGTCTGAAATATCTGAAGCTATTAAGAAGATGAAAAAAGGAAAGTCTCCAGGAATGGATGGGCTTCCTGACGAGTTTTACCTATGTTTCTAGAGCATAATTGAAAACCCCTCTTTGAAATGATAAAGGAATGTGTTGATAAAGAAGAGATGACTGCAACTATGAAACAAGGAATAATAACATTGATCCCCAAACCAGACAAAGATCACCTATCTTTAGATAATTGGAGACCGATAACACTATTAAATGTAGACTTGAAAATACTCTCATTAGTTCTGGCCAAACAACTGAAAAAGGATTAAGTGAAATCATCAATGAAACCCAAACCGGCTTTATGGCTAATCGGCACATAAGTTGTAATATTAGACTTGTTCTTGATTTAATGGATTACTCTGATTACGTTGAATCAGACGCTTTGATTTTATTCTTGGACTTTTATCAGGCATTCCACACCGTAGAGCATCAATTCTTATTTCGATCACTTCAAATTTTTGGTTTTGGAGAAAAATTTATTTCCGCTGTCAGAATGCTTTATAAAGACATCAGTAGTAGTGTCCTGCTTTTCCCAAATATCACTAAAAGATTCTCTGTCCACAGATCGGTCCGACAAGGCTGTCGGCTGTCACGTGGCGTAAAACTAGGAAAAGGTGGGGAAAAATGAGTGGAGTAGAAGAGGACAAGTAAAAAGAAAGGCGTAAGGGAGTAAGATAAAACCAAGAGCATCAGATTAAGCACAAGACCATGATCACTCCAACTTTATTGGTTTCATGTGCTTCAAACTGGGAGTGTCTCTGGGGTGTGTGCAGAGAGAGGAGGGGTCGCGTTTGTCCTGCAAGATCTTCAAGATACATGGTTATTTGATCCAACTTACACTTTTTACTGGTAAAGGAGTAAGATCTAATAGTCACCCACTGTGATTAATGTTATTGAATGCTGATGATTGAATGTCGAATCACATGAAGCATTGTCATTATGCTGTATCACTTTCAAAAGAGTGCTGATAAAATAACTGATGTCCTTTGACATCCTTGCCTAAGGCTGCTGTTTTAATTACTGTTGTTTTAGCCCATGAAAACTTTTGCCTCTCCTCTGCTTTCTTCTTTCTGTACTCCAGAAAGGTCTGAAGAGTAGGGGTTTGAATAGTCTGTGATGCTGCAGGAAAACAAAGAAATAAATATGTTAAATTTTGGGTCTCTTATTTCTGTATAACAGACTACTGCTAAGGAGGCCGCTATGATCAGAGGAGGAGAACCGCACCGAACCGGGATATTTTACTAATGGGTTACTTTTATATGGAGCTTTAACCTTAATAGAACAGCTTTAATAATAACAAATAATGAACTTTGACAACCATGATGAATTACAAAAATGTGCCCACTGATGTTTCTTTAGTTACTGTGTTTAAAAGCTTTGAAAACACCAAGTTAGTCTAAACTGTGGCAAAAAAGAGATTCCCTATATTCCACCTTCGTGAAGTTGGCCACCCACCCTCAATAAAAACGTTTCGAAAGATTGTGTTTTCTCTTTTGCGGTTGTATTTTTGCACTTCCAGGCCACTGTAATGTTGCACCATCACGCCGTAAAAAATTCCTAGTCTGTGAATCCTGTTCATTGACAATGGCAATAAAACCCCTTCTAATTTTGATTTTATATGATAGGTAAGAGCTCAGTCATAATCATCAGTATATGCCTTGTACAGCATACATTTAACACCAGTCTTTTTTTTGTAGGCACTGGTCTACACACCTCCATTTTATTAGTGGCCTCTGGTGCAATCCCTTGTAATAAAAACAAGATGAATAATGTTTTGATACGACAATACAAATTTTGAACTTGTTGAACATCGAACAAACATTAATATCTGCCCTGTGTCCTTGGCTGGTGCCAGGTTTGCAGAAAGCTGGTGCATGCCAGGGGCGATGGCACCGACTTCACTCCTAAAGTGCTATATAGGTAAATCCCCCAAAATTAGAATATTGTGGAATTGTGATAATTTATCTCCATAATGTATAATTTTTTAATCTGCATTTACATATACTAGCTACACTACAAAAGTTTGGAAGCAAGGCCATTGTTCACAATGATTTTTTTAAAATCCAGCATGAGTTTTATGTATTTACTCCATGTTTAGGTGTTGTTTTCATGGAAATGCACCATTTTACTCCATTTACCTTTAGATATACATTGATGTTAACAGACCATTGCTAAATATATGTCAGCAAAAGATAATAAGGGCTTTGTTTTAGGGTTGAAAACATTTGCAAGAGTCACAACTTCAGTGGAAAAGCAATCAAAAAGCAAATCACAGTTGGATTATTCACTTGGTATTCTATGGTATGGAGATTTGTAGGTAATGGAGTAGGAGATTTGTTTGAAGTAAAGGGTATCATGAAGAAGGAACAGTACCACTCCATCCTCCAGCACCATGCTGTTCCATCTGGACTCAGACTTGTGGCTCATAAGTTTGTTTTGCAGAAAGACAATGACCCTAAGCACTCTGCCAAGCTCTGTCAGGGTTACCTAGACAAAAAAGAAGAGGAAGGTGTTAACTCACAAATAATAGATAGACTGAGAAATACAATGAAGTACATCTTGCAAATTTGCTGGAACTGGTAACACCACAGTCTCTCATGCAACTGCAGGAAAACAGTCTGCAACAGCAGCGGGATAACAACTTTTCATTTTGAGAAACCTGAGGTGAGTGAGCTTCCTCATTTTTATTTTTTTTAATAGGATATAGAAATGTCTCAGTCTCCAAAAAAATTCTTTGCCTGTTTGTTCTTTCTGTCTTAAATGAAGGCAGGAATCATTCTGGGAGATTTTAGACACATCTGTGATGTGATGCACACAGACAGACAGAAGTCGACTGACATCAGCGTGAATTCCCTCTATTGAATTCAGTTATCGAGTTGATATCCTGCCTCGTAGTACAGCTGATCGGGATTACGGAGATCTGGTGAAGTTAAGTGAGTTTTGGCAGTTATCCTGGGTGTGTTAATCCAGCTGCATAGTACAGGCCTCAGGTTTCACAAAGCTACAGTTTATTTGGCTCTGATCATTTGATGCTGGATTTGGTTGATTATGGGAGGTCGGTAAAGGTCCGGTGTGGGGGGAATATACCTTGATGTCACTCAGCTTCCGATTCACTTCCCGGTTAGCAGTAGGGGAACTTTTTATTTGTATCAAAAACTGTCAACTTCATGACCAAGTACAACCCCAACATTTCAGACAAAGGAACATTGAACAAATAACATGGGAGATAATAAAATAATACTATAGTAAAAAAAAAAAAAGAACAAACACATACATAATTTCTTTAGAGAAATATAAATTGGGGTCTTGTAGCAGAGATGCCCGCTTTCTCACCCTAAGTACCCCCAAAAGAATGTAATGCTTGACCTGGTCACTGGAGATGAGATGGGGTGACCCCACCAAACCAGATCATGTTCTCATTGCTCTCCACTTTTGCTTTAAAGTCAGCTTAAATTATGTTTTTAAGTTTTAAAACATGCGCACATGAATGATGAGAAAACAACATTGTTTTGAGATTTTCTCAAAAAGTCAAATAAGTAGGTCTATCTAGGCATTTTCAAAAGCAAATATTTTAGTACTCAAACAAAAGTAACAGTTTAGTTAGCAAATGTCCTTGTATCTCAGTATTTATTGACTAGAGGTCTCTATATTTTGAAGTAGTCATGTCTTTGTCCTCACTATCTACCCTCTCTGTCCCTATTATCTTCTTCATAATCTTCTAAACAATCAATTTTGGTCATAAACCTAATACATTTTACTGTTAATATTATTGAAGTTTAAGAGAGGTCTAATGTGACAACAAAAGACCAGGACTCAATACAAGTATCTTCGGCATTCTAATAAGTGAATTTAGAAAAAAAAAAAAACCTCGCCCCACTGCATTGCATAATAGGAGAGCACAGGACAAGATACAGAAGATTAAGTGTTGCCCCAGCACAGGGTTATTTCAGACCCATTAAGTCCAGATCATACAAAAAAAAAGAAAAATACAAGGGATAAGAATAAGAATAACTTTATTGATCCCTGAAGGGAAATCCAATTGTCTGTCGTCTCACTGGTCATGTCTCAAAAGTCATCTACTATTTATAAAAGAGTTGTAAAGTCTGATGGCTGTGGGTACAAAAGATCTTCTCAATCTTTCTGTCCTGCAGTAAAGAGAGAGGAGCTGTCCACCACCATTGGCCCTTTGGTCCATTAAGGTGTTGTGAAGTGGTTGATCCATGTTCTTTAAAATAGCCTCCACCTCCCTCAGTCTACATTTCTCCACCACATCCTCCAACACAGCCAGCCTTTTTCACCAGTATGTTCAGACGTTTTGCATCTTTGTGTTTGATGCTTTCTCCCCTGCAGACTGCAGCGCAGAACACAACACTTGCCACCACAGACTGATAAAACATCTGCAGCATCTTACTACAGATGTCTGTTGAGCAGCTCCTTCAGCAGCAGATTTAGACTTCCACCTTGCAGGACGGAGCACTACTGCAGGCCATTCCTCCCCTCTGCAATACGACTTTACAACCAACTGTAATAATAACTGGATTTATACCACCACTTTTTTCTGGCATTTAAATTGTGTATATTGTAGATAGTTTTATTTTTCTTCTCCCTTTTTCCTTTTTCTATTTTTTTTCTTAATTATTACATTTATTGAAGTTCTTAATATTAGGATCTTTATTTTTATAACTGCAATTTTGCACTCTTTGTCTGTGATGCTGCTGTGACAAGAAAATTTCCCCCATTGGGGAATATTCTATTCTATTCTTCTAATCGGAGTCTTCTCAGGCAAAAGAGGCGGCTCTGCCACTTTCTGTGGGTGAAGTCTATGTTCTTAGACCAGTCCACTCTACATGCTTGTTTTTTTCTGCAGTTGTAGACACACTTGTTCTATCTCTAACTATGTGTTCATTTTAGCAGAGATGCTTGCAGAATTTAAATACTGAGACTGAGAGAGTTTATTACATCCAGGGCAGCTCTAGGGTCTTTCTCCAGTGCAAACTCTCATGTGTTTTATCAACACAGGTTCTCTTTGGAAAGTTGTGCCACACTCTGAGCAGCTGTGGGGTCTCTCCTCTGAGTGAACTCTCATGTGGCTTGCCAGATCTCCTTCTCTTTTGAATGTTTTGCCACATTCTGAGCAGCTGAAGGGTCTCTCCTCTGAGTGAAACCTCATGTGCCTTGCCAGGTCGTATATAGTTTTGAATGTTTTGCCACAGTCTGAGCAGCTGAAGGGTCTCTCCTCTGAGTGAACTCTCATGTGTTGTCCCAGGTCGTATTTAGTTTGTAATGTTTTGCCACAGTCTGAGCAGCTGAAGGGTCTCTCCTCTGAGTGAACCCTCATGTGCCTTGCCAGGTCGTTTTTAGTTTTGAATGTTTTGCCACAGTCTGGGCAGCTGAAGTGTTTCTCATCTGAGTGAACTCTCATGTGTCTAGACAGTTCTCCTTTAGTTTTAAATGTTTTGCCACATTCTGAGCAGCTAAAGGGTCTCTCATCTGAGTGAACCCTCATGTGCCTTGCCAGGTGGTATTTAGTTTTGAATGTTTTGCCACAGTCTGAGCAGCTGAAGGGTTTCTCATCTGAGTGAACTGTCATGTGTCTTGCCAGTTTGCCTTTAGTTTTGAATGTTTTGCCACATTCTGAGCAGCTGAAGGGTCTCTCCTCTGAGTGAACTTTCAGGTGGATTGCTAGTTCTTGTCGTGTTTTGAATATTCGACAACACTTTGAGCAAACACGTGATTTCTCAAGCCTCTTTAGCATCTTCTTTCTCACTTTTTTCACAGACATTAGACTTGACTTTTGTGGTTTTGTATCCTCCCAATTCTCATCACTGCCCTCGGTCTCAGGTTCAGGGGAGTCTTGAGTCATTCGTTGTATATTTATCCCTGAGTAGTTACTGGCTGGATCTTGTCCTCCATGATTCTGTTCCTTGCAAATGTTCGGGGGCTCAGTGTATCCCTGGTCCAGAGTGGGACTCCTCCCCTGCTGCTCAGAGAGAAACTCTTTTTCCACCAACAACTGTTGGATATCTGCAAGGCACAGAAAAACAACAACTAAACAAAAGTTGATGAAAACATCAGTAGATATGAAAGCAGATTTAAAAACTCAATGATATTCTTAAGAAAGATAAGAGTTAGACTATTTTTCAACAGTCCTGCCAAGAACTGAACAATGTCAGCAGCATGGATTTAGTTGAAGAGGCACCACTAAATCTGTTGTTATTTTCAAATCACTTACAGCATTTGTTATGATGCTCATTGATGTGCTCCTGAAACTTCTTGGGCAAAACTGAATGGGTGCAGCCTGGTGCAAAAAGCTGCTGCACCATAGTTCCAGGTAACCAATCACAGTGTTGATAAAACACTCAACCCAGGTAACCAAGAGCAGCATTGTGAGAGTTCACACTAAGAGCTCAGAATTCAGCTCACATTTAGTTCCCATGGATCCAAATCAACTAGGTTGCATTGATAGTTTGTGTGTCTGTCAGCAGAGCCTCCCAAACTTCAATTCCTAATCCCCTCACTGACATTTATTGAAGTAAATAATTATTCAATTGCACATCACAATTGGAGACAGACATGTAGTTTGAAAAAACAAGGAAATTTCAGTGTTTTAAACAGTTTTTTTCCCTCGACCCAATACCTTGCTATAGTGGGTGAGATGTTTATCAAGCCCTCTAAAATAAAGGGGCTTTACCCCTCTGAATCAGACAGGATTTTAGCCTGATGGGCAGCACAGAAACGAGAAATGCTGACTGACAATACAGATTTACATTTTAAAGTAGGCCACAGAGATACATCTGGAACATGTGTTTTTCAGAATCATCATCAAACCAATGTGTGACTCTTAAACTACAAATACTTGACACAGTCCAGCAGTTAATAGGACAAACATGATAGGATAGCTGTTGTATTTGTTGTTGCGGTTGTGTAGTACTTCAGATATTCGTAATAAAAAACTTTTTCCTTGAGAAGAAAAACTTTTTTTGCCTTAAAATCATTCCAGGTTTAATCATATTATTTTGCCATTTCATTAATATGGTTTATTGCAGCCTGTGTGTGGCGCTTGCTTCAGTTAAGGCATTGAAACATGTATCCAGAAGTGTAAGGAAAACTGACCTGCTCTGTGCAGCTTGATTTCGGGTGTTAAAATCACAGCCAGCAGTTTTTTCTGGCGGCGGAGCTCCTCTTCGTATCCAGACTCTGTTCTATTTTCGACCAGGTCCGTCATTACCGCAGCCAGCAGCCGCCGATTAAATAAATCATCAAGATCCTGAAACCCGGACATTTTCCACAAACGCAAGAGCGGAAGCAGCGAAAACAGAACTTTGTGGTTACCGCGGTACCACGTGGACGACTTCTTCCTCTTGTTTTTCTTTATGAGCGTTTGGAAACAGAGCTGAATCCGTTTTGGAGCGGAAATTTAAACCTCGGTTTCGGATCACCAGGTTTGAAAAAGTCGCGGTGGATTTGGCTCCGATCTTTTGTTTGCAGAATCTGGATTTGGTCGATTATGGAGGTCGAGCAGTAATGTGTACTTCTTTATCTTCCTCTTCTTAGTTAACGGCGGATGGCAACTAGTAGTACTGATTACGGTCGACGACCTATAAAGAACTGGCATAGGGGGAGTAGTGGGACTTCATACGACGTCATCTCCGCTTCCGGTTTTACCGATAGCAGGGTCTCACCAAAGGTGCATTTATACGTTCTAGAGCCAAATGGCTAGAGGAGGGAGAAATGAATACGGCCGTTTTTCGCCCTGGAAAAAAGGAATTATAGAAGAGATAATATAACATCTTTGAAAATAGATAACTCAACTAGCTCTGATCCTTCTGATATTGCCAATTATACTCTAAAATTTTATTCTGATCTGTACAGTTCTGTTCATAATCAAACTGATTGTGAAAAACAATGTTAAAGAATTTACGCCACAAATATCCAACGAATTCAAGCTGGACTGTGATAAACTCAAGTCTGAAATGTCTGAAGCTATTAAGAAGATGAAAAAAGGAAAGTCTCCAGGAATGGATGGGCTTCCTGTCGAGTTTTACCTATGTTTCTAGAGCATAATTGAAAACCCCCTCTTTGAAATGATAAAGGAATGTATTGATAAAGAAGAGATGACTGCAACTATGAAACAAGGAATAATAACATTGATCCCCAAACCAGACAAAGATCACCTGTCTTTAGATAATTGGAGACCGATAACACTATTAAATGTAGACTTGAAAATACTCTCATTAGTTCTGGCCAGACAACTGAAAAAGGATTAAGTGAAATCATCAATGAAACCCAAACCGGCGTTATGGCTAATCGGCACATAATTTGTAATATTAGACTTGTTCTTGATTTAATGGATTACTCTGATTACGTTGAATCAGACGCTTTGATTTTATTCTTGGACTTTTATGAGGCATTCCACACCGTAGAGCATCAATTCTTATTTCGATCACTTCAAATTTTTGGTTTTGGAGAAAAATTTATTTCCGCTGTCAGAATGCTTTATAAAGACATCAGTAGTAGTGTCCTGCTTTTCCCAAATATCACTAAAAGATTCTCTGTCCACAGATCGGTTCCGACAAGGCTGTCGGCTGTCACGTGGCGTAAAACTAGGAAAAGGTGGGGAAAAATGAGTGGAGTAGAAGAGGACAAGTAAAAAGAAAGGCGTAAGGGAGTAAGATAAAACCAAGAGCATCAGATTAAGCACAAGACCATGATCACTCCAACTTTATTGGTTTCATGTGCTTCAAACTGGGAGTGTCTCTGGGGTGTGTGCAGAGAGAGGAGGGGTCGCTGTTGTCCTGCAAGATCTTCAAGATACATGGTTATTTGATCCAACTTACACTTTTGACTGGTAAAGGAGTAAGATCTAATAGTCACCCACTGTGATTAATGTTATTGAATGCTGATGATTGAATGTCGAATCACATGAAGCATTGTCATTATGCTGTATCACTTTCAAAAGAGTGCTGATAAAATAACTGATGTCCTTTGACATCCTTGCCTAAGGCTGCTGTTTTAATTACTGTTGTTTTAGCCCATGAAAACTTTTGCCTCTCCTCTGCTTTCTTCTTTCTGTACTCCAGAAAGGTCTGAAGAGTAGGGGTTTGAATAGTCTGTGATGCTGCAGGAAAACAAAGAAATAAATATGTTAAATTTTGGGTCTCTTATTTCTGTATAACAGACTGCTGCTAAGGAGGCCGCTATGATCAGAGGAGGAGAACCGCACCGAACCGGGATATTTTACTAATGGGTTACTTTTATATGGAGCTTTAACCTTAATAGAACAGCTTTAATAATAACAAATAATGAACTTTGACAACCATGATGAATTACAAAAATGTGCCCACTGATGTTTCTTTAGTTACTGTGTTTAAAAGCTTTGAAAACACCAAGTTAGTCTAAACTGTGGCAAAAAAGAGATTCCCTATATTCCACCTTCGTGAAGTTGGCCACCCACCCTCAATAAAAACGTTTCGAAAGATCGTGTTTTCTCTTTTGCGGTTGTATTTTGTACATCCAGGCCACTGTAATGTTGCACCATCACGCCGTAAAAAATTCCTAGTCTGTGAATCCTGTTCATTGACAATGGCAAAAAAACCCCTTCTGATTCTGATTTTATATGATAGGTAAGAGCTCAGTCATAATCATCAGTATATGCCTTGTACAGCATGCATTTAACACCAGTCTTTTTTTTGTAGGCACTGGTCTACACACCTCCATTTTATTAGTGGCCTCTGGTGCAATCCCTTGTAATAAAAACAAGATGAATAATGTTTTGATACGACAATACAAATTTTGAACTTGTTGAACATCGAACAAACATTAATATCTGCCCTGTGTCCTTGGCTGGTGCCAGGTTTGCAGAAAGCTGGTGCATGCCAGGGGCTGGGCACCCACTTCACTCCTAAAGTGCTATATAGGTAAATCCCCCAAAATTAGAATATTGTGGAATTGTGATAATTTATCTCCATAATATATAATTTTTTAATCTGCATTTACATAGACTAGCTACACTACAAAAGTTTGGAAGCAAGGCCATTGTTCACAATGATTTTTTTAAAATCCAGTATGAGTTTTATGTATTTTGGGATGTATTTACTCCATGTTTAGGTTTTGTTTTCATGGAAATGCACCATTTTACTCCATTTACCTTTAGATATACATTGATGTTAACAGACCATTGCTAAATATATGTCAGCAAAAGATAATAAGGGCTTTGTTTTAGGGTTGAAAACATTTGCAAGAGTCACAACTTCAGTGGAAAAGCAATCAAAAAGCAAATCACAGTTGGATTATTCACTTCAACTTTTTGGCTTTTGAGAGTCTGCATACAAAAATCCTAATAAATCCCAACTGTGTTCAAAATACTGCAGAAATGGTTAGAAAGAAGCAACTGAGCAAAGAAACAAAAGTACAGATTTGTACATTGAGGAAAGAAGGATACACAGAAAGAGAAATTGCAAAACGCCTAAAGGTGTTTAACAAAGGAGTCCACTACACTCTGAAGAGACTTGAGGAACCTGGAAGTTATGATGATAGAAAAAGACCTGGATGAAAGAGAGTTATTACAAAAGGAGAGGATAAACATAGCATTGTCACCAGTAAGAGAGATCGGCGAAAGACAGCACCACAAAGAAGGGAGGAAATCAACATGACAAAGTTGTAACCAATATCTGTGACAACCGGGAAAAGACGTTTGAGAAAGGCTGGTCTGAAGGGTTGTGTATCTGCAAAAAAACACTACTTCATCCACAGAACAAGAAAAAGAGATATGAGTGGGCAAAAGCTCACAAAAATTGGACTTATGATGACTAGAAACAAAATGCAGGGTCTATGTCCGCAGACAAACTGGTGAACATCTGAAAGCACCATGTGTTACACCCACAATTCAGCATGGAGGTGGTAGTTCCATGGTGTGGAGATTTGCAGGTAATGGAGTAGGAGATTTGTTTGAAGTAAAGGGTATCATGAAGAAGGAACAGTACCACTCCATCCTCCAGCACCATGCTGTTCCATCTGGACTCAGACTTGTGGCTCATAAGTTTGTTTTGCAGCAAGACAATGACCCTAAGCACTCTGCCAAGCTCTGTCAGGGTTACCTAGACAAAAAAGAAGAGGAAGGTGTTCTTCAAAAGATGGTTTGGCCCCCTCAGTCTCCAGACCTTTCTCCAATTAAGCTTGTGCGGGATGAATTGGATCTATCGGTCAGAAAAACGCATCTCACGAATCAGCAGTCTCTTTTTAATGAACTTAAGAAAGCTTGGAATGCAATCCCTGAAACATACCTTAAAAAACTTGCCAAGCTGTTGTTAAAGCCAGAGGAGGTTACTTTAAAGAAAGCAAAGTCTAAGCTAGAAAAACTCAAATACCTAATAATTATAGTCAAAATGTCTTCTGATAAGTTACTCTTTACACAATAGTCATGTTTATTGTGTTGTAAGTTATATTTACGAAACTATGATCTTTTTTTTATACAAATCTGATCTTGCTTCCAAACTTTTGGCCTGTAGTGTGCATATAAAAAACAAACAAACATACCTGTGGCATGCCGTTTGAAACAGAAGCACCACTATGTAGTTACGTAACACCTTCCCAGCACTGCAAGAGCACAAAGTGCTCTTAAGTTTCACTGGACCCTTTTTAGAATGAAATGTCACCTGTTAATAGGGACATAATAATGAGTGTTGATGATAGACATGGACTTCTAAGCCAAGAACTGGGCAGAACATATGAATACATGTATTTTGATCAAACAGAATCTCTCAGTTTCCATTTGTCTACCCAAAATAACATCTTTAGTAGTTTTTAACTCACAAATAATAGATAGACTGAGAAATACACTGAAGTACATCTTGCAAATTTGCTGGAACTGGTAACACCGCAGTCTCTCATGCAACTGCAGGAAAACAGTCTGCAACAGCAGCGGGATAACAACTATTCATTTTGAGAAACCTGAAGTGAGTGAGCTTCCTCATTTTTATTTTTTTTAATAGGATATAGAAATGTCTAAGTCTCCAAAAAAATTCTTTGCCTGTTTGTTCTTTCTGTCTTAAATGAAGGCAGGAATCGTTCAGGGAGATTTTGGACACATCTGTGATGTGATGCACACAGACAGACAGAAGTCGAGTGACATCAGCGTGAATTCCCTCTATTGAATTCAGTTATTGAGTTGATACTCAATAACTCCCACCCTGCAGGACGGAGCGCTACCGTAGATCATTTCTCCCCTCTGCAATAAGACTTTACAATGAACAGTAACAAATCTGATTTTACACCACCACTTTTTTTATGGCATTTAAATTGTGTATATTGTAGAAAGTTTTATTTTTTCTTCTCCCTTTTCTAATTTTTTTCTTAATTATTACATTTATTTAAGTTCTTAATATTAGGACCCTTATTGTTATAACTGCATTTTTGCACTTGTTGGCTTGTCTGTGATGCTGCTGTGACAAAAAAAATTTCCCCCATGGGGGATCAATAAAGGAATATTCTATTCTATATTCTATTCTATGATATCCTGCCTCGTAGTACAGCTGATCGGGATTACGGAGATCTGGTGAAGTTAAGTGAGTTTTGGCAGTTATCCTGGGTGTGTTAATCCAGCTGTATAGTACAGGCCTCAGGTTTGACAAAGTTACAGTTTATTTGGCTCTGATCTTTTGATGCTGGATTTGGTTGATTATGGGAGGTCGGTAAAGGTCCGGTATGGGGGGGAATATATCTTGATGTCACTCAGCTTCCGATTCACTTCCCAGTTAGCAGTAGAGGAACTTTTTATTTGTATCAAAAACTGGCAACTTCATGACCAAGTACAACCCCAACATTTCAGACAAAGGAACATTGAACAAATAACATGGGAGATAATAAAATAATACTATAGTAAAAAAAAAAAAAAAAGAATAAACACATACATAATTTCTTTGGAGAAATATAAATTGGGGTCTTGTAGCAGAGATGCCCGCTTTCTCACCCTAAGTACCCCCAAAAGAATGTAATGCTTGACCTGGTCACTGGAGATGAGATGGGGTGACCCCACCAAACCAAATCATGTTCTTATTGCTCTCCACTTTTGCCTTAAAGTCAGCTTAAATTATGTTTTTAAGTTTTAAAAACATTATTTCAGTTTGTGGAATCCAATCAGACAGACAAACATTATTCCAGATGAACATTTAATCCAAGCTGTTAGGGTTTGTGGTTTCTTGATTGCTGTTTTTATTCAGTGGTTGGTTGGTCAAATTAATTCTGATGAATTTGGTCTGCTGGCTAAGTGAGTAAGTTAAGTAGATTAGACTATTTTAAATTTGCCTGTTTGTTGTCCTTGTTTGATGTCACTTTGAACCCTACCAGATGAGGAAAATATGAATTCTTTCTCACTTTGTAAAGCTTAGCTGACACTTCACTGATCATCAACCATGAGCTCCTACTCCTGCTCCTAGTATTTCAAGGCTGGAAATTTAAAACATGTGAGTTTAAAAATGTAAATAATTAAATAATGTAGCTGAACCTGTTGTGTTTAGTGCGCACATGAATGATGAGAAAACGACATTGTTTTGAGATTTTCTGAAAAAGTCATATGAGTGGGTCAATATATGCATTTTCAAAAGCAAATATTTTAGTACTCAAACAAAAGTAACAGTTTAGTTAGCAAATTTCCTTGTATCTCAGTATTTATTGACTAGATGTCTCTATACTTTGAAGTAGTCATGTCTTTGTCCTTACTATCTACCCTCTCTGTCCCTATTATCTACTTCATAATCTTCTAAACTATCAATTTTGGTCATAAACCTAATACATTTTACTGTTAATATTATTGAATTTAGAAAAAAAAAACACACCTCACCCCACTGCATTGCAGAATAGGAGAGCACAGGACAAGATACAGAAGATTAAGTGTTGCCCCAGCAGAGGGTTATTTCAGACCCATTAAGTCCAGATCATACAAAAAAAAAAAGAAAAATACAAGGGATAAGAATAAGAATAACTTCATTGATCCCTGAAGGGAAATCCAATTGTCTGTCGTCTCACTGGTCATGTCTCAAAAGTCATCTACTATTTATAAAAGAGTTGTAAAGTCTGATGGCTGTGGGTACAAAAGATCTTCTCAATCTTTCTGTCCTGCAGTAAAGAGAGAGGAGCTGTCCACCACCATTGGCCCTTTGGTCCATTAAGGTGTTGTGAAGTGGTTGATCCATGTTCTTTAAAATAGCCTCCACCTCCCTCAGTCTACATTTCTCCACCACATCCTCCAACACAGCCAGCCTTTTTCACCAGTATGTTCAGACGTTTTGCATCTTTGTGTTTGATGCTTTCTCCCCAGCAGACTGCAGCGCAGAACACAACACTTGCCACCACAGACTGATAAAAAATCTGCAGCATCTTACTACAGATGTCTGCTGATCGGAGTCTTCTCAGGGGAAAAGAGGCGGCTCTGCCACTTTCTGTGGGTGAAGTCTATGTTCTTAGACCAGTCCACTCTACATGCTTGTTTTTTTCTGCAGTTGTAGACACACTTGTTCTGTCTCTAACTATGTGTTCATTTTAGCAGAGAGGCTTACAGAATTTAAATACTGAGACTGAGAGAGTTTATTACATCCAGGGCAGCTCTAGGTTCTTTCTCCAGTGCAAACGCTCATGTGTTTTATCAATGCAGGTTCTCTTTGGAAAGTTGTGCCACACTCTGAGCAGCTGTAGGGTCTCTCCTCTGAATGAACTCTCATGTGTTGTCCCAGTTCTCCTTCTCTTTTGAATGTTTTGCCACATTCTGAGCAGCTGAAGGGTCTCTCCTCTGAGTGAACCCTGATGTGTTTTGCCAGTTCTCCTTTAGTTTTGAATGTTTTGTCACAGTCTGGGCAGCTGAAGGGTCTCTCCTCTGAGTGAACCCTCATGTGGCTTGCCAGTTCTCCTTTAGTTTTGAATGTTTTGCCACAGTCTGGGCAGCTGAAGGGTCTCTCCTCTGAGTGAAATGCCATGTGTCTTGCCAGTTGAGTTTTAGTTTTGAATGTTTTGCCACAGTCTGGACAGCTGAAGGGTTTCTCATCTGAGTGAAATGCCATGTGTCTTGCCAGTTGAGTTTTAGTTTTGAATGTTTTGCCACATTCTGAGCAGCTGAAGGGTCTCTCCTCTGAGTGAACCCTCATGTGGCTTGCCAGGTTGTATTTAGTTTTGAATGTTTTGCCACATTCTAAGCAGCTGAAGGGTCTCTCCCCTGAATGAACTCTCAAGTGGCTTGCCAGGTCGGATCTAGTTGTGAATGTTTTGCCACATTCTGAGCAGCTGAAGGGTCTCTCCTCTGAGTGAACCCTCATGTGGCTTGCCAGGTCTCCTTTAGTTTTGAATGTTTTGCCACATTCTGAGCAGCTGAAGGGTCTCTCCTCTGAGTGAACCCTCATGTGGCTTGCCAGGTCTCCTTTAGTTTTGAATGTTTTGCCACATTCTAAGCAGCTGAAGGGTTTCTCATCTGAGTGAACTGTCATGTGTCTTGCCAGGTCGTATTTAGTTTTGAATTTTTTGCCACACTCTAAGCAGCTGAAGGGTCTCTCCTCTGAGTGATAGATCATGTGTCTTGCCAGGTCGTATTTAGTTTGTAATGTTTTGCCACAGTCTGAGCAGCTGAAGGTTCTCTCCTCTGAGTGAACTCTCATGTGGATTGCTAGTTCTTGTCGTGTTTTGAATATTCGACAACACTTTGAGCAAACACGTGATTTCTCAAGCCTCTTTAGCATCTTCTTCCTCACTTTTTTCACAGACATTAGACTTGACTTTTGTGGTCTTGTATCCTCCCAATTCTCATCACTGCCCTCGGTCTCAGGTTCAGGGGAGTCTTGAGTCTTTCGTTGTATATTTATCCCTGAGTTGTTACTGGCTGGATCTTGTCCTCCATAATTCTGTTCCTTGCAAATGTTCGGGGGCTCAGTGTATCCCTGGTCCAGACTGGGACTCCTCCCCTGCTGCTCAGAGAGAAACTCTTCTTTTTTCACCAACACCTTCTGGATATCTGCAAGGCACAGAAAAACAATAACTAAACAGAAGTTGATGAAAACATCAGTAGATATGAAAGCAGATTTAAAAACTCAATGATAGTCTAAAGAAAGATAAGAGTTAGTGTGGGGATTATGGACTAATGTTGCCCCCTCTAGTGTTGGACTTAATTAGCTCACCAGCTATGTATGTGCTGTCTCGGAGCAGCAGACTATTTGTCAACAGTCCTGACAAGAACTGAACAATGTCAGCAGCATGGATTTACTCGAAGAGGCACCACTAAATCTGTTGTTATTCTCAAATCAGTTTCAGCATTTGTTATGATGCTCATTGTTGTGCTCCTGAAACTTCTCGGGCAAAACTGAATGGATGCAGCCTGGTGCAAAAAGCTGCTGCACCATAGTTCCAGGTAACCAATCACAGTGTTGATAAAACACTTAACCCAGGTAACCAAGAGCAGCATTGTGAGAGTTCACACTAAGAGCTCAGAATTCAGCTCACATTTAGTTCACATGGATCCAAAACAACTAGTTTGCACTGATAGTTTGTGTGTCTGTCAGCAGAGCCTCCCAAACTTCAATTTCTAATCCCCTCACTGACATTTATTGAAGTAAATAATTATTCAATTGTACATCACAATTGGAGACAGACGTACTTTGAAAAAACAAGGAAATTTCAGTGTTTTAAACAGTTTTTTTTCTTCCCGCCCCAATACCCTGCTATAGTGGGTGAGATGTTTATCAAGCCCTCTCAAATAAAGGGGCTAAGGGTATAGAAACACTGAAGAGACAAACATGAAAGTTGACTATTCTATCTGAAAAAGTTTTACCCCTCTGAATCAGACAGGATTTTAGCCTGCTGGGCAGCACAAAAACTAAAAATGCAGACTGACAATACAGATTTACATTTTCAAGTAGGCCACAGAGATAAATCTGGAACATGTGCTTTTCTTGTGCCTTTTCAGAATCATCATCAAACCAATGTGTGACTCTTAAACTACAAGTACTTGATTTTTTTCCCTTTCCCAGCAGATAATAGGATAAAACATGATAGGATAGCTGTTGTATTTGTTGTTGCGGTTGTGTAGTACTTCATATATTCGTAATAAAAACCTTTTCCTTGAAAGGAAAAACTTTTTTTTGCCTTAAAATCATTCCAGGTTTAATCATATTATTTTGCCATTTCATTAATATGGTTTATTACAGCCTGTGTGTGGCGCTTGCTTCAGTTAAGGCATTGAAACATGTAACCAGAAGTGTAAGGAAAACTGACCTGCTCTGTGCAGCTTGATTTCGGGTGTTAAAATCACAGCCAGCAGTTTTTTCTGGCGGCGGAGCTCCTCTTCGTATCCAGACTCTGTTCTATTTTCGACCAGGTCCGTGATTACCGCAGCCAGCAGCCGCCGATTAAATAAATCATCAAGATCCTGAAATCGGGACATTTTCCACAAACGCAAGAGCGAAAGAAGCGAAAACAGAACTTTGTGGTTACCGCGGTACCACGTGGACGACTTCTTCCTCTTGTTTTTCTTTATGAGCGTTTGGAAACAGAGCTGAATCCGTTTTGGAGCGGAAATTTAAACCTCGGTTTCGGATCACCAGGTTTGAAAAAGTCGCGGTGGATTTGGCTCCGATCTTTTGTTTGCAGAATCTGGATTTGGTCGATTATGGAGGTCGAGCAGTAATGTGTACTTCTTTATCTTCTTCTTCTTAGTTAACGGCGGATGGAAACTAGTAGTACTGATTACGGTCGACGACCTATAAAGAACTGGCATAGGGGGAGTAGTGGGACTTCATACGACGTCATCTCCGCTTCCGGTTTTTCCGATAGCAGGGTCTCACCAAAGGTGCATTTATCCATTCTCGAGCCAAATGGCTAGAGGAGGGAGAAATGAATACGAGCTCTTTTTCGCCCTGGAAAAAAGGAATTATAGAAGAAATAATATAACATATTTGAAAATAGCTAACTCAACCAGCTCTGATCCTTCTGATATTGCCAATTATACTCTAAAATTTTATTCTGATCTGTACAGTTCTGTTCATAATCAAACTGAATGTGAAAAATTTATAAACAATGTTAAAGAATTTACGCCACAAATATCCAACGAATTTA